AATTGTCCATTGTTTTGGTTATTGTATGGTATTTTAAAATTCTGTAACCAGTTTTCCATTTTTTATGGACTGTCCTGAGAAGTTAAGAAGCCTTGCTGTTTGCATAATATTCCAAAGTCATAAGCTACACCAAATGCATAGTGGCTATTAGTGTGAATATTGACTATTTGATTTTTGGCCAGTCGACAAGTTGAATTAGAGCAACTTGTTTAGCTTGTTGGGCAGATCTGATTTCAGGCAGATAAGAACATTCAGTTATGTCTACCATGGAAGTTAATGCTTATCCAGCTTGGTAATGTTCCTATTTATTTTTCAGATAAGGTTAATCTGTGAACTAAATTAAGTCAGTATTATCAATAGGAGTTTCCTGAAAATCATTCCTTCCTACGATGAAGAAGTGGTCAGTAAACTAAATACAATTCTAGGTGTCTTTTTTTTTTTTTTGTAAAGAGGATAACAAAATTTTGTAGGGTTAAGGCAATTAAAATAATTGCCTGAGTTAAAATAATATTATGTGTAGAAAGTAGGAGCATTTTATGAGAAGTCAATCGACTGGCAGAGAAGTGTTGAGTGTGATAAGAATTCAGTTAAGATTCAACAGAATGAGGAACATAGTTAATGGAGAGCCTATGAAAACATCTTCGGTCTGTTTATGTAATATAGCTGTAGTAGAGATCACCCTTTTACAGGGATGGAGCCTTTTTCTCCTGAATGTGGTTGCTAACTATAATATCCCATAGACCTATGATGATCTCCATGTTTCTGAATTAGAACTCCTAAAGCATTTCCTTTACTTTCATGTGTGAAAAGGAAGGAGGGAAGTTTACAATTTGGATGTCCCAGAGCAGGAGTTTTAGACAACACTTCCTTTAGAAGCTCTACAGCTTGTTTCCCTTCGGTGTTGTATTTAATTTGATTAGGTTGATTTGATTTTATATATACTTTTTATTAACTTTAAGGAGGAAGGGAGAGGGAGAGAGAAATAGAAACATCAATGATGAGAAACAATCATTGATTGGCTGCTTCCTGCAGGCCCCTACAGGAGATCAAGCCTGAAACCTAGACATGTGCCCTGACCTGGAATGGAACAATGATCTCCTGGTTCCTAGGTTGATCCTCAGGGAACCCTCAGGGGATGTCTGACTGCCGATTTTGGCCCGATACCCATAGGCCAGGCTGAGGAACCCCACCTGCCAGAGAGACCTTGCTCACTCTGCAGATGCCCTTCGAGCCCTGGCACTGCCCCAGGTGCAGCCGGCTGGGGAGGGACCATGGGAGGTTGGTTCCGGGGCATATCTGGCCAGTCTTGCCCAGTCCTGCCCCGCTGGCCATCTTCTAATTAATTTCCTTTCAATGTGCACAAATCCATGCACCAGGCCTCTAGTTATTTATATTAGTTTTTAATAATTGAAAGAAATAGGTTGGACTTTTGGTTTATCCCTGGGGCATTACAGTCCAAGTAAGTTGTCAATTTTCCCAGGTGAAGACAAAGAGATATTGACTATCTTTTTCTACTAGAATTCTGAAGAAGACACTACATAAATCTATTATTGAAAAAAAATGTCGGTCTATAGGAATGGCTGATAAAAAAGTATGTGGATATTGAGCCACAGGTTGTGTGGGTATTTTACTTTAGCTCTGAGATTCTGTATAAATTTTTATTCTTTGCAATTTTTTTATTGGAAGTTAGGAGAATTACAGGGGCTTGTATATGAAATTATAAGTCCTCTTGTTAAGTAATCTTACATAATAGGATTAATTACAGCTAGTGTATTAAATTATATTGGTGAGTATTAGGCAGAGGCAAAGTATTGTCAATAATTATTTTAATAGAAGTGGCTGACTTGATTTTGTCAATATCTGTACTGGAAAGGGCCCAAAAGAGGTACTGGAATATCCTGTAACAAATGTTTAGTTTCAAGATTATTTTCCTCTGGTAGAAGTTTCTTTAAAATTCAGTTGATTTAGCATTTGATTCATATGGTTCTAAATACATTCCACTCTTCTAGGAAAAGGATATGTGGGTTTTAAGAAAATCTCTCCAGCCCTAGCCAACTTGGCTCAGTGGATAGAGCATCAGCCTGCGGACTGAGGGGTCCCGGATTCAATTCCAGCCAAGGGCACATGCCTGGGTTGCAGGCTTGATCCCCAGGAGGGGGCGTGCAGGAGGCAGCCGATCAATGATTCTCTCTCATCATCGATGTTTCCATCTCTCTCTCCTTCTCCCTTCCTCTCTGAAATCAATAAAGAAATGTATTAAAAAAAAAAAAAGAAGAAAGAAAATCTCTCCATATCAGGTGAATCGGGGCCCATTGGCCCAGTGAAAATATGTGTTGCCCCATAACATTCCTTAGTTGAAAGGTGACAGGTTTTGGTTTTAAAATTGTCATTGTTTGGATATCCCTGGCATTTGTACAGAAGCTTTACTCTGAGTGAGAGGGAAACTTAGTTGGGTAGCGTTAAGATTAGATAAAGTAGCCCCAGTATCTACAAGGGCCTTACTAACTTCCCCTTTTATGATAATTTCAATTTCTTCTAAAGTATTAGCAAGGAGAAATCCTATGAGCAGCCATATGTTTGTTTGTTTGTTTTTTCTTTGTAAATCCCATTTCAGCATTCTGCAATTTTTTTTATGGTGACCTGGCTTTCCACAGTAAAAACAGACTCCTTTCTCCCTTGTCTAATAAACCTCTGAGTAGATTTGATTTGGTTGTTTAATTGTTGGAGGTGTAAGTTCATAATTTTGTCAGTTTTATTTTATTTTTTTCTCTTTTGAATAATTTTGATAGTTGATTGGCCAGAATAGACAATTCATTAGCATGGAGGTCTGTCAGTTCAATTTGTGTTATTTGATCAAAGTTACAAGCACTTCATCTAGTCCTTTCATAAATGCCAAATTCAGTAAGGGATCATTTTGATGATCTTTAAAAACTACTGGAGACAGACTTGAGTATTGTTTGAAAGTTTTTTCAAAATGTTCAAAGAAATCAAACACTGGTTTGTCAGGCTTTCTTTTACTTTGCTGGATCTGGGTCCAGTCTATTTTCAGAGGAAAAATCTCATATATGGCTTGATGAAGCTGGTGAGCTCATTCTCTGCATTTTTCCCTGTGTGTCGCTCTCAGTTTAAAAAAATCCTCTACAGGAGTATGCCAGCTCACCTTACTCTGTTGCCTTGCTCTCAGAAACCAATAGGTATATTAACTGGAATAGGCCAGAATAGCCAGGATCGTATGTTCTAGCAGTTCCATCAAATTCCTTTGCAAACCCACCAGCGTCCTGACTGGAGCGGGCCAGGGAAATCTTTAGTTAGATTTCTTAATTCTGTTCTAGTCCAGGAAGATATACAGTTGCTGGGTCCCCTCTACACGAGACAGGCTTTTCTCTGAAAGGAGCTGCTAGAATTCCTGCTTTATCTTTCTCTGAATTTGTATTCTGGTTTTTCCCTAGGTCAGTAGGGAGTGGAAGTGGAGGAGATGTAGAAGGAGAAGGAAGAAGGGAGGTTGAGGGCAAGTCTGCACAAGGCAGCTTAGAAAACAAAGGGTAGAGTGGAGAAGCTGTAGAAGGAGGAGAAATGGGATCTTGGCATTTATTGGCTTCAGAAACCTTCTTTAGTTAAGAGTCTCTAAAGTTTTTTATTAACTTCCTTCAAGGAAGATATTTTATCTGAGCCTCTCCTAGAAGCTTCTCACTTCCAATCAAGATAAGCTTCCCATTCATCTTATTTTAGAGCCATTTTTTTCTAATTGAGTGTGCAGGGAAAAAATCAGTTTGGAGCTGTCAAAATTCCCCACTTTGGCCCTTTCAAGTTGATACCATTTTTAGTTAAAATTTTTCAATTTCTGTAGATACTTGCAAGTTGAGATTCCATATGAATCGTATATGTTTCTCGGGGGCATATTAATGAGGGGTTGGGATTCTTTGGGTTTATTGACTTTAGAGCAGCAGTTCTCAACCTGTGGGTCGCGACCCCTTTGGAGGTCGAATGACCCTTTCACAGGGGGCGCCTAAGACCATCGGAAAACACATATATAATTACATATTGTTTTTGTGATTAACCACTATGCTTTCATTATGTTCGATTTGTAACAATGAAAATACATCCTGCATATCAGATATTTACATTATGATTCATAACAGTAACAAAATTACAGTTATGAAGTAGCAACGAAAATAATTTTATGGTTGGGGGTCACCACAACATGAGGAACTAAAGGGTCGTGGCATTAGGAAGGTTGAGAGCCACTGCTTTAGAGGCACAATTTTCCATTTTAATTTCAGTCTTTCTCTTGATATCTATAAAGTTTGAGAAAAATTTCTGGGGATGCTATGTAGTGGGTCAAAGTGTGCTGCTTATGGGTTGAGTTTCATGAGGCTCTCACCCCTCAAGCCGTATTCAACCCTCGTAAGTGTCTCAGTTTCTCTCCCGGCTGTCTCAAACAACCAGAAGGGCTCGGGCGCCAGGAGACCAACCCTTATGGGCACTTCTCCAGGGAAGCCTGTCAGTTTAATTACATTTGAGTTGGAATTTCCCTATGGAGCGGCTGCAGGTGGTAAGGAATGACTTTTGATACTTCCACAAGTATTTTTAGTCACCTAAGAAAACCAGAGATTTGGGCTGGAGGGAGGGTGTGCCCCTTATATTTGGAGTTGAACAAATTCAGCTCTCATTTCTATAGCAAAGGTTGTTTTTTTTGTTTTGTTTTTGTTTGCTCAGACTCTCAGAAAGCAGTTCCAATTGAAAAGGGCCACCCATTCCAACTTCTGTCCTTTAGTGCCATCTCAAGGGATTTTCTAACAATAGTTTAGTCAGTCCTTCTACCACCAGCAGGGGAAGATCCTGGGTTCAGGAGACAATTTACCTGATGCAGCCTGTGGGAAGCTGGCAGGGCTCCATGGGCCCCTTGCTGCATCCTAGCACAATGTTCCTGGGTGAGCTTTCTGGAATCCTGCCAACTATGTCAAGTAAATGTCGATGTAGGAAATATTCACACCTGTGAAGAATTTTTGTGAGTTTTTTTGAGCCAAACTGTTGACAATTGCGGGGAAACAAAGTCTCAAGGGACTGAGAAAATGCCCCAGAGAATGGCAGCTTTGCCCCTTATTTTATACATTACAATCAAAAGAGGAGACATAAAGGGGTTAAATAAAATCCACTGGTTATAGATTAGGGAGGTGGGAGGCAGCAAAGCAGGGAAAACTCACTAAATATGTAAAGCTAAAAATAAATATAATACATAGATATAGTAAAGCACTGATAATTTCTGATCATAAGATTTTAAAAATAGCTAACTGATAAATAAATAACTGATAGAGGGCAGCTGACTCTGGGCAGCCTTGTTCTGAGGCCCAGGTCATTGCTGACGGAAGCTAGATAAATTCGCATGAGAAGTTTAAGAAAAGTGCTCCCTCCAATGCCAGAACTTAACAGTTATTAAGACGCTATTTCAGCCAGTCTGTGGCTTGTGCCATAGCACATGCAACAAGCCCCACCAGTTTTTGCTTCCCTGGTGTTGGAGGTGCTCTGGGAAACAGGGGCTGACACTGGGACTTGCAATGCAGAGCAGTGGCCTTGGAGACCCAGAGGCTGCCTTCTTGGCCAAGCTCCATGCTCAGAGAGTGGGATCCCCTTGATAATGCACTGTATTCTGCACAAAGGTAAGAGGTTTAATTTGGAAATGCAGGCGTGGGCATCACAGAACAAAAGCCAAAAGGGACATGAGATACACATTTTTACATCTGCTTGGGGAAGGGTGGTCAGAACATTTCATTCTATTTATACAAAGGCAAGCAGTTCAAGCACCTAGAGGTACCCATCCACTCTGAGATACTGAGCCTCAGTCCCTTATCAAGAAGTAACTGTTCACCAAAACCCAGGGACAGAGGAGCAAGGGCTGAGGGAGGGGTTCTATCACCCTGTCACTCCTGCTCCTTCCTCTCCCCCACCCCAAACCCACTCTGTAATACACATACTTTCTCTCTCTTTCCTAGGGGCCATTGCCACTTCCAAAGTCAATGTAAGATCTTCAGAAGAATTGTGGGAAGTTCTTGTCCTGTGAGTTATCTAAGTAACATGATGGGCAAAGTCTTTTAGATCATTTACTGGGTGATTCTTGGATAACTTGATGTTTGCTCATCAGCTGTAATAACTTTATTACATGGACTATCTAGCATTCATAAAATGATAACAGTGACGCACAAACGGGTAGTATGATTAATTATTTTGTTTATTCCACAAACGTTTATTGAGCACCTACTATAGTCCAGAAGCTACACTAAGGTCTGGTGGTATGGTGATAGAAGACATGGTCTCTGGCCTCGACATACCAGATAGATATAGTGATATTATAGAAAATATGTATATTGGTCTCTGCCTCCTGCTCCCAACACAGAGCTCCTGAAACCCTCGGGAGTTCCTGGGTGGTAAAAGCACTGGGAGCAGTTTTTGTTCTAATATTTGGTCTTTGACCAAAGGTCCTGACACATGGCTCCTGACACCCCTGTCATTTCCTGGCCGAGAGCAGTGTCTTTTGTTCTCATGAAGAAACTCCAGATGGGCTCTTGGATAAAAGCTGTTCACCAGACTGACAAAGCTGTCATTAGAAGCTTGGAGTTCTCAGCCTCACCCAGGGACAAGGGTTGAAAATGGAGTTAATCATTAGCCATGATGAAGCTCCACCAAAAAGACCTTAGGATGGTTCTTAGGAAGCTTCTAGGTTTGCAAACATCCATACCTGGAGGGTGATGCACCCCAATCCATGGGCATACAAGCTCCTGTGCTGGGAACCCTAACAGAGCTCACCCTATGTATCTCTTCATTTGGCCATTTGTCTGTATCCTTTATCAGATCCTTTAATATACCAGTAAATGTAAGTAGGTGTTTCCCTGAGTTCTGTTAACTGATTGAGAAAATTAATCAGACCTGGGGAAGAAGAAGGGTCATTGAAACCTGCAATTTGTAGCAAAATCAGACAGAAGTTGTGGGTAACCTTGCAGCCTACTACTGGCAACTGGCATCTGAAGGGGGTCAATCGGTGTGACAACCTGAAACCTGTGGAATCTGACTCTATCTCCAGGTTGGATTGCTGAGTTGAGTTAAGTTGTAGGACAGCCAGCTGGTGTGTTGGAGAACAACCCACACATTTGATGACCAGAAGGGTCAGAGCGAAGTGTTGTGTCAGAGCGAAAAACAAGAATGAGCTAAGCAGGTGACACCCAGGAGGAAGGATTCTAAACTCAGTGACAGGAACACTTACAAAAGTATGCATGTTTGAGGAAACAAATAACTTACTATCACGATATCACTCAACCCGAGGCAGTTCAGGCTGATGTGGAGAGACTGTTCCAGGGCGTGGCTGCTGTCAGACCCGCAGGCAAACTGGACCAGGGACTGAACAGAGACTGTAATCAATGACGGTTCTGACATAAACTAGCACCCCTCCCCTGCTGCCTGCTGCCTGCTGGTTCCTGGGACAGGCCTTTGTCCTGACCTGGTCCAGCATGTGATCTCCCATACCTGGTAGCTTTCACATGCTAGTGCCCATGACTATCCCCCCCTTTATCCTATATGATTCTTTGCTCCTGCCAAGCTGTGTGGAATCCATTCTGAATTGAAGCCACCTACGATGTATTTAAGGAGCTGTGTCCATTAATAAACTATACAAATTACCGGACTGGAGTGGTAGCCTCGTTCGTCTATCTTTCCCTGCCCTCTGCTTACAGAGCTAGATTTTCAGTCCTGGATTCTTCACTGGGTCTGTGTGTATCAACAACTGGACATCTATGAGGAGCCCAATATGCGATGACAATAAATTTCTACTTTATCTCACAGGCTACGGAGAGCTTCTGAAAAATTCTGAGCTGTGTGGTCACATAAACAGAATCATGTACTGGAAAGATTGCTCTGCAGCAATGTAGACAAATAGGATGAGGACAGGACAGGAGTACCAGTGCTGCAATATTTCCAATGAAAGACACCACGTGATGAACTGGAGGCACAGAAGGAAGAGCTGCTTGAGAACAATGCAGGACAGGCCCAGGGGATTGTAGGTAGGAAGGAGAAATCCGGCATAACTTTCAGGTTACTGACTTGGACCATCGGGAGAATGGCTGACAAGCAAGATTGGAGAAACAGAAGGCAAGTGAATTTGGAAGAGAAAATGAATTTCGTTTTTGATGTGGTAAGGTTGGGGTTCCATGGAAGTTCAGGTCTAGGCACCAATGTCATTGTGGGATTCATCAGCCAATTGAAGTCAGGTAGCTGAAGTCAGGTGTAGGGGAGGCTTGCCAGGGAGAGGAGGGGACCCCTAGGAATGCTAGTACATAAGGGAGAATGGCATTTCCTTGTCTTTTACTGGCACATTTCTAAAGACCCAGCGAAAGACACAGAGAGGCTGGATAGGCCAGAAAAGCACAAGAAGAATCAGGGAGTTATTAACAAAAGCACAAAAAGAGTTTTAAAGAAAGAGCTGCTACAATAATCAAAACAGTATGGTATTAGCAGAAAAATAGACACACAGACCAATGGAACAGAACTGAGAGAGCAAAAGTAAACCCTCATGTGTATGGGCAACTAATTTTAGGCAAAGAAGCCAAAAACACAATGGAGAAAGGAAAGCCTTGTCAATAGTGTCGGAAAATTTGGAAAGACACATGCAAAAGAATGAAACTAGACTGCTATTTGACACCAAAGACAAAAATTAACTCCAAATAGAGTCAAGAAAAAGGAACCCTCATACATTGCTGTGGGAATGTAAACTGGTACATTCACTATGGAAAACAGTATGGCAGTTCCTCAAAAATAAGAAAACATAAATACCAAACTTATGGACCTTGGTCTCAGAAAGTCTTTTGTGAACTTGACCCCAAAGGCCAGGGAAATAAAAGCAAAAGTAAATAAATGAGACATCAAATGAAAAAGCTTCTGCTCAGAAAAACAAAAAACAAAACACAAAACAAAAAGGCAACCAACCAAATGAGAGAAGATATTTGCAAATAATACTTTCGACAAGGGCTAATACCCAAAATATATAAATAACTCATAAAACTCAACAACAACAAACACCTAACAATCCAATTTTTAAAAAGGGATAGGAACCTGAACAGACACCTTTCCCATATACAAATGGACAACAAGTACATGAAAATAGGCTCCACTTCACTAGTTCTTAGGGAAATGCATATAAAAACCACAATGAGACACCACCTCACACCTGTTAGAATGGCTATTATCAATAAGACAAGAGAGTTCTTACCATTTGCAACAGCACAGATGGACCTGGAGAACATTATGCTAAGTGAAATAAGCCAGTCAGAGAAAGATAAATATCACATGCTCTCACTCATTTATGGAATATAATGAACAACATAAACTGATGAACAAAAAGAGACCCAGAGACATAGAAGCATCAAACAGATTGTATAACCTATGAGGGGGGCAGAGGGGGG